AATTCCACAAAATTTCCAAAACGCGGGGGGCTATAGCAAAACTTGAACCTATATAGATTATGATTTTCCACAGAAGGTAGAACCCATTTCGAACCCTTAGTACCGAATTTTAAAAAACTCCGTCAGAAAATTAGTCATAAATCATCAGAATACTGAATATCAGGAGGTACCGTTACATGGGAGTATCAGAAAACATGCACATATATCCAACATAGGCCATTTAAAATACACATATGTGCTCAATTGTAGCTTTTTATCTCGATTCGTTCAAAATATAGGGGAATTACACCAGACACTGACAGATCTCTAAATCCACTTAACCCTGATAAAGAATTATACACTTTATTGGTTCTAACATGAGTATTTGTAGGAGTTACATCTCCTCCACTATTGTATGGTGGAGGGTATAAACACTCTTCTTTATTTTTAACAAATTTAGGGCTTTTTCCGATTTCGCACTCTGTTTGTGTTGTGAGATATTCTGAGAGATTTTAATAGGACTCGGTTCGAAGATTAATACTCTAAAAGAGTTTCGGGCTCTTAGGTCCAATATTTAATTTCTCTTCATTTAATATAGATAGAGACTACAATGCTCTTATTTCACAAATTAATGGTTTAAAACATAAGTCATGTTTATCCACTTTTTGTGATCTTGTTGCGGTGGTTTCGGGTATGTTTTCCAATCGATTTGCCTGAAAATTTGTATCTTAGTTTAAAGAAAGTTGCTAACCATATTTAAAAAGAAGCACCAAAAAGATAATTTGTTGGCCCGCTTGAGGATTAAGATTTTCCACCAAAATTATCAATAATTCAAGGATTCCAAATAAATCTTAAAACATCAATACACTTCTATTTTTTGTTCCACTCTTATAATCTACGGGATTTTCCCTGTAAGTATTGAAATAATTTGATTTTGTCACACAGGGAAATTAAGAGTGACAACACCCCGGACCTAATGCAATTGACCCGGCATCTTTAATTTTCTCTTAAATAACATATTTTTTAATTTGGTTTGGAGCAGAGTTCACCTCACCTCAAAGTACCAGTATCAGCAGATTGTGTTGGAATGTAAACAACATTTAAACAAAATTTCTGGCCAATAAAAATTGAACAGAAATTAATACAACTTTAATGAAAATCCCTAATTTGATTTTATGAATTAAACTGAAATCAAAATATACCATATCTGTATAAATGCAGTCGAACATTGTATTCCTTTTGGGAATTTGCACACACACACACACACACACATGAGAAAGCGGGAAACGAATACAAGATCTCCTTAAATTTTAACAAGACATTTTTATGGCATTTTTGTAAAATAAAAATTGCAAACCCATAAAAATGTCTTTCAATGTTGCCATCGTTGGTGTGTGTGTGTGAGTTTGTACGCCCAAAAACATCCAGGCATAAGGCTGACAAACTGCACAATGGCACTGCAGCGGCAACAGAATTTATTATAAGTCAGTGTGTCGCAACGTTTGCAGGCGGCAGCAATCGCCAATTCAACTACAGCAAATATGGAGATATTTTATGACAATGTAAGTTGATGTTGTTGTTGTCGTTTGCTAGTTGGTGTCAGTATTTATGTTGCGTTTCATTTACGTTTTCGGCGATTTCCGTACATGTGTAGATGGAGAGGGGGGAATGTAATGTACCACATGTGGCACACGTATGTATTGTGTATTGTCTGTAATAGGTCGTCACTGGCGTTTGCATTGTTGTTGTGTTTTGTAATCCATGTGGCATGTAATGCAGCAAGTGCGGGACAGGATATACTCATATCATTGGGATAGCTATATTCCAAACCTTTGGTGTTATGAAGGAAAAGTATTGGTTGCGCCGAAATAAGTAATTAGTTCTTTTTCGTCGTTGTAGAAAGTCTCATTTTTGTTATGATGTCCAATGCGACTTGTGGACTCCTACATTGACTCAGTCTTATTATGCCTCTTTGACTTTATTTGCTTTGCTTTTATTAATTAGAATTTTATATTTTAAGAGCATCTCTCCCTCTCACACACACAAAAAATATATAATCCGGTTTTACGCAATATTTTCCTGTTACAAAAAATTTTTTATTTGAATTTGTTTTTCATTTCCCATTCCTCGCATAAGTTAAGTTTTATTTGCGTCATAAGCATGTGTAATTCAGTTTGATTTTATTTTTTTATTTAAAATTTAATTGTGTTTTCATTAAGAATGCAATTCACATATTCCCGCCATAGCGTAGGGCACCTACTATGGCTGAGGGGAAGGATGTATATTTACCAAAAAAAAACACACGCACACACATTTTTAAGTCACATTGCAGAAGGTGTTGTCCCTAGACATCATAGGAAGCAAGACGTGCTTGTCATACTCATATTTTGAGCCGAAAGAAAACTTGTTTCAATGACACATGTAACCTGTCATGATGGATATTTATGAGAAGGTCATTTCCTTGACAACAGCAACAACTGTGAGTTGTGCTTCATAATATTTGATGGTGTTGTTGTTGTTGTTGTGAGGGGAGAAGGTTTTTAAGCGGCATCACTAAAAGGAATGTGACTAACTGCTGGACAATGAAGCAGCTGTGTGGAGAGGTGAGGAAAGAGGAAATAACATAATATGAATTATGAATAAATTAAATTAATTTCAAAAGAAATTATTGAAATTCATTTTCGGCATTATGAATGTATTTCCTGAAGTTAAGTGACATAAATATGAAATATTTGCGATAGTCATGATGTCAAGTGTAATGATGACACTAGCCTAAATTTTAAATGCCATAGTCATTGGTATTTATTATATTGTTAATAAGAATGAAGAATTTTTCTACAACAACAAGTATACTAGCAGAAGCAGTATATATTACGATGGGTATACACTGTCATGCGGTACTCTTCAGAAGTACAAAAATTAATATTTTAAAGGAAATATACACTATTATTTTAAACAAAAGGTTGGCGATAAGCCTTAACAACAACCATCCATTTTAACTGATGTTATTTTTATACCCTCAACGATACTTACAGCCTGTTTTTGTAAGAGTATTTTGGAATTTTGGTGAAAGAAAATATATTTTGGGGTTTTGTAGTAGATTTTTTTTCTGTGAGTGACAAACACAATAAAGCTTTTTTCCTCAGTATTTTTGGTTTTTGTAACGAAAAAATGCAAACGAAAATGTCAGAAAAAACGAAAAGTTTTTTCATACGCCCAAAACGTATTTCATCGAAATAATGGCTTTAGACCCTATGTCTCATAGACCAAATCCATTTCAGGATATTTAGTGTCGCTCTAGGCCCATATCACCAAGTACCTCCCCCACAAAGGGTAAAGATTTTGAATGACTGTAAAGCCCATAAAGCGCCAAATTAGCATTCGATTCCTTTTAAACAAGGTACACCTCAATTTTTCTGGTGATCTGGTGTAAAGATAGGATATATCGGTCCACTGCTTATGGTACCTCCCCCCAAAGAAGCACAGCAGTCCCACATGTATGGGAAAGTGTGACAAAAATGTTTCTTAACTACTAATTGATGTGATTTGTTTAGAGTAGCTTCATAATGAGTAAAAAGGTATAGTCCTCATATATCGGTGCCCTCCGATTGAAAGAAAATTTCAAGATTGTAGGTATTTTTTTAATTGAAACGGATTGAAATTTGACATCTGGTGTTCTTCGATGTCTTTACAAAATAATATATGTTAATATAGGTCCATAATTTGATATAGCTCCCATAGAACCCAACCCCAAATTGATGTGCAAAAATTGTCAATATTGAACAGGTTCTGATATATTTCCCATGGAAACCTAATGTTTCAAGATTTTCATTCAATTTGCCGTTCTGGCTTCTGAATATAATATTTACCTCTCTAATAGAGGGTACTACACATTTGCCGTATTTTAAAAGCCAAAGTGAAACTTTGAAACACGAGTAGGATTCACAGATGCAGATACAGGGTTGCCTATATTCGACGGACCCATCTGGCAACGCCATAACTTTTGACAGAGATGTCACATCGCTTAATGACATACCGGGTTTGAAGCGTCAGTCCAAGCAGATTTTTACCACGAACCAATACACGCCACGCGAGCGCTCTGAAATAGTTGAAATTTACAAGAAGTCAATTGTGAAAACTCAACGTGCTTTTAAAACATTACAAAAATGTGAGAAGTGCGCCTTCTGAGACACCATTAAGCGTTTATACGAAAAATTTTCGACTGGTAAGGCTCTTTCTAATCCGAAGAGGCCATATAAAAGTCGACCAAGGCGATCGGCCGAGAATATCGCTGTGGTACGAGCCAGTGTTGAGAGGTCCCCAAGAACATACCAAAAACGCCGTTCTCAGCAGTTGGGCATGGCTCGGTCCACTTTACAACGGATTATTCGCATTGATTTGTATTTGTTCCCGTACAAAATTCAATTGACGCAAAGAATGTTGCCTGCGGACAAGCCTCGTCGATTGGAATGGGCCCAAAGTCCGTCGAATATGGGCAACCCGTATATGCAGCTGAAACTATTTTTTCATAATCTAAACAATTTTTCTAGTATAATGGAAACCAGTTTGAGAGAGACAAGGAGTGCTCTAGGAAGAAGAACTGAACCACATTTTACAAACAGTCTTAAAATAGGGAACTCTAAGAGTTTATTTCTACTGCAGTGAGAAGTGAAAATATGAATATGTCTCTGAATAAAAATGTCGACATTATCATAAACCATGACATTTAATCTAAAAATGAGAGATAAAATGCAATTTTTGAACTGACATACTGCAGTGAATACATAAAAAAAATAACTCAACATTCTCCACCAAAATATCTTTGTTTTGCATGGATGTTCATGTTTATTTTATAAGAATTGGAAAACAAAGATATTTTGGTGGAGAATGTTGAGTTATTTTTTTATGTATTCGCTGCATAAAAATTAACAAATCTGCAACATGTATATATGTATATTCTGGCTAATTTCTAGATAATTCCATGGACAATTATTATAATTGATTTCAGTTCAATGACTCACCTAATTCCACATATAGTTTGGGTCTTATATTCTCCTGCCAGGCACTTAAATTTCCAATCACGAACAGTGTCAATATAAGGAAGACTTGCAACAGCGCACCACCATAATTTGTACATGTCAGCATGGAATGGCCGCCAAGACGCTGCTGTTGACAACGTTCGCGACGAATGTGCGTTGCATGCAATTGATCATTGTTGTTGCGTTTTGAGGTTGCCGCTGCTTTAGATGTTGCTAATGATGCTGCTGCTTCGCTTGACGTTGTCATTGATAACGATTCCATTTTAAGACGTGAAAAATTTAACATTGAATTGTGTTTTTTTTTTAATAATTTTCGTTTGTTTCGTTAATACTGAGTGTTTTTGTATTTGTTTTCGTTTTTTTATTTGGAGTTGCGAACCAAATAATTTCGAGCTGATGTCACCGAGATGAATTGATATTTGCTAAGTTAATAGAACTATTGTTGCTGGGATCTCCTCTTAACACTTCACGTTGAATGAAAATAATCGTATGACAACTATATCAATAAATATTTGGATTTATTGAAAGTTATCACAACACTTCACGACTATTTTCCACATCCAATCACCTGGGGATATTTGTTAGAGAATCTCCATGTAGATGAGAGTTAAGGTGTTTACTGCATTTTCCATATTTAGAGTCTAGAATAAAAGGAAAAAATATTATAATAAACCTTAAAAATCATTACATTTCAAAGACTTGATGAAACAAGTTTACATTTTTTGGCAAAAGTCGAAGGTTTGAAAATGAAATTATTATAATTTATTATTAGTATTTTTTTAATGTTAAAGTGTAATTGTTTGTTTCTAATGATCACAATAGATAAAAAATTGCTTAATTTAGAAAAAAAAAAACATCTAAAGAAAATTCGATTTATTAACTTTGTTCATAAGACAAGATAGCCCGTTTATTTCTGTAAGAACTAATGACTCATTAAGAAAGAAAAGGTATCAAACAACATAAATTTCTTGTAGCGTATTCATAGTATCTTTTTTGTAAACAGCGAAAATAGGGTAAAAAGATGAGCAAAGATTAGCAAAAATAAATTTAAAAAAAGAATTTAAATTACATGCAAAAACTTATTATTTTTAAGTAAAAACAGAGCTGCTGCATTTTTAATAAAATAACTTGTCCATGTTCACCAAGTACGAAACATTAACATTACGGAAATTGTATGTACACAGTACGCTTAAGTACAGATTAATTTTTCCTAAGAAATAGGAAAAAGAGAAAGAAAGTGGAAGGGAGAGAGGGTTAAAATTTATGTTATTAGATCAAACCCCTTCGGGTTTCGGTTTCCTAGACCAAAAATTTTGGGTCCATATATTGCCTTTATCATACACCAAAGGACCCCAATATTTTGAGATATATTTCGCAACATTTAATATGAAGATTTGAAAATGTATTCTTGAGAGTTTTGGATTACTTCAAAAATCGTGGGTTAAAAAAGGATCATGTCTGTTGATAATTTCGATAACTGTCCATAGAAGGTGGAGTATATACAAATTATCAAGCAATTATATATGCTAGCAAGGGCCCGCTACCTCGTCAGCGAAAAGTCCACCTTAAAATTTTAGATTCGAACTCAAAATTCACAATTTTTTCTGTTAGACAAAAATGTTACATCAAAACATCATGCATCGTATTGATTTTTAGACTTTTCAGGTTTTATATATTATTCCAGTTTTTCGTTTTTTTTTTTTTTCGAAAGCATAATTGGAAAATGTTTAAAAGACTTCAAAATCTTTCATTTTAAAGTTTACCGAGGAGGATCGTTGCACAAAGGTCCCCCATCCGTTTTTTCTGACCAAAACTATTGTAACGTCTCCATATGTTTCTAGGGTTTACATATGGAGACGTTTGAATAGTTTTGGTTAGAATAAACGGATGGGGGACCTTTGTGGAACGGTTTTACTAATATCCTCCTCGATATCATATAAACCTCAATATCAAATATCATAATTCCAGCTCTGCCCCTTTACCTACTACCAAATTTAGTAGCATTTAGCATTTTCAAAGCAATCTCAAGCTCAGATACTAAGCTCAGATACGACCTTACTATCAAATTTCAGGTTTACAGCACTGTAATTTTCCACATTACCAAATTTAGTATCATTTAGTACAATTATAGTAAGCCTATTCACAAACAGCTCCTTCTATGAACCACGGAGACCTTTTTATTATTATTGTAGTACTGCAAATGTGCACCAAACCACGCCCATGTCTTAACAACAAAAACCAACAGAGACCTCAATATTCAAATGTGAGGATTCCAAACCTAACTTCTAACCCAAATACCCAATTAAGTACCATTTAGTACTTTTCGTAAAAAGATAGGACGCGTTTCCAAATCACCGCCAAATCTGGAACTATGAAATCATCAGTATTCTAAACATAAAATTTCAGAATTGTATCTCTATCCCTTCACCTAATACCAAATATAGTACTATTCAGTACTTTTCGTACAATTATAGTACACATTAGCGAAACCACCTCGATATGTCTACGCTACAAATAAACAGCGACCCCAATGCCAAATTTCAGATTTTAAGCACTGTTCACCTGTTCACCCAATACTAATTTGTACCAAATATAGTACTATATAGTACTTTTAGTGCTCTTGTAGTACTCATTTCCCAAATCGCCGCTTTATCAGGCACTTAAATACAAACATTCAAAATTCCAGCTTCATCCATTCAACCTAAACGAAACTCTTCAAAATTTAGTACCATTAAGTACAGTTGGCACACTTAGTACACCACCTTCATATGTAAAACTTACTTGTACTTTTCACCTTTGCTTTAGCTTTTTACGTTTATAAAATACTAAATACATAGAACCACTTTAGACCTTTTTTAACCTTATAGTTCGAATTTCCACAAACCCTTTTGTGCATCTATCCTGCACTCTAACACTGGCTAGCTCATTCTGTTTGTCCAATACGAAGTACTCAATAGGAAAACATATACAATTTTCAGTACAATTTAGTACTTTAGTATTTTTCCAAGTAAGAATTTCCAAAAACCCAGCCTTATCACATGTCTGCGTACCAAGACTGACCCTCGGGCAAAATTTCAAGATCCTAGCTTCAGCCGTTTCATCTGCACGTTGATTTTACATCAATTAGTCAGTTATTTTGCATAGTTCAATGGTATTTTACGTGGTATAGACATGAAACTCAAAAAAACTTGTGATTTATGTATATGTTGTTGTATTCGATTTGAATTAAAACTAATACTTGTGCAATCCAAAAATAAATGAACTAATCAAAAAGTTCCTCAGTAACTTTTACCGCAACGCCTTATCGTCTAATTAGGGTGACTATTAGTATGAGCTGCAGTAGTAGCATGACCCTATCTAATGGATGAAATTCACCTCTGATTCCTTGAGTTAAATATGTATGTATATCGGACTCATCAACAACTTCAAAACGTGTTGTACATTGACAGTAAAGTTGTGGCCCCTAGGAAAAAATTTATGTTGTAGCTGTCTTTTTTTTTTTTTTTTTGCATCTCTCCCGTTTGAGAAATATACCTTTTGGCACTTGTTTATGTTGTTAATTTCACACTTCTCGCTCTATACCTTCTTTTTTTTTTTTTTTTTGCTTTGTGCAGCTACTTGACGTTATCTTCTTTATGTCATGCAACAGTACCCGTATTACAAGAGTTGCCGTAGACAAACTGACTGTCTGACAGTTGCTCTTGTTGCTTCTAAAGTTTAGCAAAGAATTGCTGTTGCTGCTGGTGGTGGTGGTGATGGCGCTGGCGTACTCTTGTGTAATGACAACAACATGCCCCTAGAAAATGTAGAGAAAGACAAGCAAAGCAAGTCGAGTAATTTGTGTGAACTTTCCAAAGATTCTAGATTCTATGCTGCAGTGACACTCTTTTAATTACCTCAATATTTTGCACGAATACACCCGCATTCTGGTAGGTGTACGTACGTACACACACAAACACACACACACAAGTGTGCACTTATATAGAGCACCATGTCTTTTCTACGCGCAATCTGACAATGATTGTCGGTATGGTTGCCAACATGATTGTCATTGTTGCTAAAATGTCAATAAATGTAAGTCTGTGTGTTGGTGTTGGAAGAGTGTGTTGCGATTAAATTTGCCACATGTTTCCAATGCATATCCTGAGACATACACACATACTCATATACATATGTGCTTAGTTGTATAAATTGTTTTGTATTCGAATAATGTATGTCCATGTGGGTGGCATTTGTAGCACATGCTAAGTTTTTTTGTTTTCTTTTTTAAGAATGTGTTCTATAAATTGTTAAAACTACCATGTAAATGTTGCACAAACACATTGGGGTGTTGATGTATTCGTCCTTCCCAGAGATTTCTTTTAAAACAATATTATATGGTGGGGTTTAGGAAAAGTTATGGGTTTAGGCTAATTAATGGTTTTTTATCGAGTTTGTACAAGGTTATAGACATTCTTAAATTAGCATTTGTTTAAATAAATACCAAATAGTATGAAGAAAACCAATTTAGGGTGTTGAGGATTATGTACAGTTCTTTGCATCCTGATTCTAGGTAGAAGTTTCATAACTACATACTACCTAAACCTTGTCCAAGTAAAAAATAAATTTTTACTGCCTCCCAATTGTACTTCAATTTGTTAGTACAATCTGGTGGTTGGCTGGTGCATAAAGATGGAGACATGTTTTGTACAGTCTTCTTTAAATAAATTCCAACACATGGTACATAGAATTTAAAAACAACAATTAAAAATGCAACTAAGTACAGCCGGACCGAATATTTAATAGCCTCCACAATTTGGAAGGAACTTGGAAAATTTTAACAAATTCAGAAAAACACCATTTAAATGATGACCTTCATATGGGGTCTATACGAAGACGTGGACCTGTATAAGTAATTTTTGTCATGAGCTGTAGTACCCATTAAAATCCTCAAATACGAAATTTGGAACAATTCCGGCGAATAGTGTCTTTAAATCATCAAAATACTGAATAAAGGCAGATAGGTGGGGGCTATACGAACCCATAGAGCTGCATACGAAATTTGTAGAGACAGGCTGTAGAACCCATAACAAACGTCGAATATAAAATTTGAAACAATTCGGGTGAATGATTTCCCTAAAATCATCAAAATACCGAATATCGGCAGGTACCGTTATATGGGGAATATACGAAAACGTAGACCGACATGACTCATTTATGAACTCAACCCGCCTTTTGGCAAAATACACATGTCAGCAAAATTTTAGACTTCTATCTCAATTCATTTGAAAGATAGCGTGACACAACAGACAGACACACATAATTTACGCTGATCCAGAATATATATACTTTTTAGGGTCTATCATAAACGGAATGACAAAACTAATATACCCTGAGTGGAATGGTGGAGGGTATTAAAAGCAAAAATATATATATTGAATACCATCTAGGCTGCGTGGACCCCAACGAACACGATTATTTTGTTTTATTTGTTTTTCACATTTCAACCACTGTAAAATAGCCATTTGTAAATCGACCAGCAATAACATCCATTACCAAATAATGAGTTTCCTAACCAAGTTTTGATACTTTATCATCAACCTACCATTCTTTGAACATAGGTATATCGCCTGAAATAAATAGTAGTGGTGCAGAAGGTATT